GGCTTAACGCATCTCTCTCATTCTGTATCAGTGTGTGCGTGCGTTGTGCATGTTTTGCTTTCTTTAAATGCCAAAGTATACTTCGGTTTTTACTCGTATGTGAGCATCCGCGTACAGTGCGCATGACGCAAATTTCATCACTAAAATAGTGTGTACTGGTAAAATGTATAACGAGTGGTTCCCTGTGTTATTTTATGAAAATGTCATATGATTATAGTACTGAGCCGCTGCAATCGAGCAACTCTAATGCGCCATGAAAAGATGAAATACCACAGAACAATAAAATGAACAGTGAAAGTAACAAAAGCTTGTACAATACATTTTAAGAGGTATAATTAAGTGTGACAATAACAGAAGGAAATACTGTTTGCTAAATGAAGTCAGCTAACATGATTCATATTTTTATTTTATTATTATTATTATTATTATTATATTTTGTTTCTGTTCCCAATATTTTAAAGCAATACTGTACAAATGCAATGAAATACAGGTATCGGTATCGGCGAGTACCAAAAATGAAAGTTCTGTCAGGACCACTCTCGTCAAAGATGACTGACAATTAGCATACAGTTTGGATTGATGGTATGGTTTTGTTCTGGGCAAGAACTCCCTGCGTGTCCATGCAGTCTAGCATGGATAAGAGCAGGAGAGTAACAATAACCTCCCAGTGTAACAGAACAGAACATAAATGTATACATAAATGTGTAGCAGATATCATTAGGTTCAATAATTTAATGTAACATTTTGAAATTAGTCTGATTTAAGGAGAATGAGAAGGCTGAATCCTGACTGACAAGAGGAGGAGCTGGGGATGGAGGAGGGTAATTAGCTATTGAACAACGCGAAGCTGGTGATAATATTGAAGGACCTTAAATATGAGTGCTGCGATAGGTGTCACATCCCTATAGGTAGACGTGGATCAGCTGAGAGTCAGCTGATGTGAGCTTGACTAACGTGACCTGCCAGAACTAACGCTACGCTATGATTATCGGTATCGGATTTGTTCTGAAAAAAGTGGTATCGGTGCATCCGTACTTTATTTTATTACTTAATGAATTATCTCCACAGATACTGTATCATACAGGGATCCTGTTAGCGGAAGTTATTTTATCATGTACATAGTGGATGTGTTCAGTAAATGCGCTCATAATGATGAGATTTTGGAGTTGTTCAGGAAGGTAAATGAAGAAAATCTCATTTCAGTTGGTTTACTTCATTTCAGCCAAAAGTCTAAACAATTTATTCTGGTATTTTTTCACCTCAAGTCCATCACTCAGTTAAAATGAAAGAGTTTGCTTCACATTGAAATATATATTTTTACAGGTCACCTCACGCATGGAGAATGACCCACATTTTACAGACAAGGAGAAACTATTGCCGTGTATTGAAAGGATGTCCTTTGTGAGGAAATTCTACCTGTTCCCTGGGCTCTATGTGCAGTTTAAACTTATTTTAAATCGAGTAAGTGACGGCCATGTCCAACAACTCAACATCTAAACAAAAACGCATTCATACACAGTATAATCCATGCAATTACCATTTATGTACATTCATTTTACTTTTTTTATTTACTATAACTCCCATTTAATCTCATTTAATGACATTTTAGTATACTTTGCTATCGCCATATAACAATATTAACCAGTTAACTACTTTGGAGTCGCCTCCATCCAAAATAGTGACAATGTGCACAAATTTCTCCATGAGCTGGTTTGTTATAGGAACATTTAACCTCTTTCATACCTTTGATAGAAGAGCAAGTTAATCAATAAAGCTTTTCTAATTTGCTACCATGCAAATTATCTCTTGCCTCCTGCTCTTGCTTCTGCATCTGGCTTTGTAGAAAATTTAACAAATGGTAGAGTTTGACTCACTCTGAATATGAGACTGAACCTGATACCACTGCATAAAAAGGGAAAGAGTGATTTAGCAATCAAATGTAGCTGGATCTATTAAAACTCTTCTGTTGCTCAGAAGCCTTTGTAAACTAATTTCCCTCTCACTACCCTCGCCGCCTGACCAAATGTTTTTACAAAACCAATCCAAAACACAGGAAAGCAGAAATAAAAAGTGGCCCCAAGAAATAAAAACAGTAACATATAATGTCTAGGCAGCAACAACAACTCGAGGTTTTAGTTTGATGACATTTAATGACATTTTGCTAAAACAATACAGACTGAGCCAAAAACAACTTTACAACAAAACACATATGTTGCAGAAGATTATAGAATTTAAACGGATATTATTATATGGCTCTCTAAAATATTTGATTCTGATTAGTCATTCGCAACATTCCAAGATCAGTTATCCCCAATAATGATGGTCGCCAATAGCAACACTGTATAATGACACTCATCCCAGTATCTGAGACCAGCGTTTCTTTTAATGTTTCTCATATCACACTGCAGAATTGATTTGTATAATTTTATTCAAACCCACCTCAGTTATTGACTGTATACTCAGTAAATAAAACTTTTAAGTTTTATTTACTTAAAAGATTAACAGGTGGATTAGGCTGTTAAAGATGCAATTCTTCCCAGATAGCAACAGAGTGTGGACCGAGTCTGGCTTACATTCGTCACTTAAAATGAAACCGGAGGTCTTCAGTATTAATAGTATAGGCCTGCAGTAATATTGATGAAGTGTTCGTCTTGTTGCTAGAATGATTGTTATGTACACTGTAATGATTGTAAGATTTTTTTTTTGTTAATTTAAATCCAAAACCCAGTCAGCCGAGTTTTGTGTGATAGCCAAAACCCATAAACCAGCAACACTTGTCTGGTACCCAAACCGAGTACCACGCCCGGCACCATGAGGGGGCAAATTGCCGGCTCAATTCTGATTTATGCTCCCTCAGCAGCGAGACATTATACCAGAACATGGTTTCTGCCGGATTCTAGCAACAAGCAATGCCCACAACATCTTAAAGGTCTTCAAGTGCGTTATATAAAGTCAAGTCACCTTTATTTCTATAGCAATCTATATAGAGCCAGTAAAATAAGTATTGAACATGTCGCCATTTTTCTCAGTAAATATATTTCTAAAGGTGTTGTTGACATGAAATGTTCACCAGGGGCCCGTTTCAACAAGGAGGTTCAACCAACTCTGAGTTAAAACTTGAACTCTGAGTTGACTTACCCTGAGATGGGAAACTCTGAGTTTTCGGTTTCAGAACAGCTGATTTGTGTTAGTTCAGTCAATTCTGAGTAGGTTGACTCTGAGAAGTCATGATCAATGGAGCTCCGAAATTATGATTCACCATAGCAACAGCTCCCGCCAAAAAGATGTCCACGTACTTCGAGTCAACGCATAAGTTTAATTCTTAATCACGGTTTATAATAACAGAGGTGAAAACTGGCAGAACGGTAGGTTATTGAACTAATATTAATTTTCATGGTATCCCATTGGCAAAAAAAATGAAGTATAAAAACAGTTCAATCAGGTAAAGGTTTAAGCATAAAATGTTCATGGGTGTAGGCTACATAAATAGAAATAGACAGAAATACTCAGTAAGAAAAGCATTTTGTAGCGTGAATGAATGAAGTATTTAAACATCGCTTGTGCTTTAAAAAGGGGGACGAGACCATAAGAAACTCTGGGTTTACCGAAGAAAACCTGCTCCCGACCAGGTTAGGTTCATAGAGTAAGTTACCACGGTGACTGACTCTGAGAATAAGTTACCTCTCTTTCAGAAACGGGCTTGACTTATGCTTTCTCGGGTTTGACAAACCTCCCATTCTGAAACTGAAAACCCAGAGTTTCCCTCAATTTAAGGTTAACATACTCAGAGTTCCCTTTCATGGGAACTTCGAACTGTGTCCTCTAGGGCTCGCTATGGGGAACGCCTCGTCGTGACCCGTGTCTGAAGCATACATTGAAAAAACAGAAGCTTGCGTCCGCAGCATGGCAAGAAACCTAGAGGACGCAGTGTCTCGTTCCCTGCTCAGGGAACCATGGTTACATAAGTAACCTGAGACGTTTTCTCTTAACCTCCTTTCTGAAACGGGCCCCAGATGTCGGTAACAAACCAAGTAATCCATACATACAAAGAAACCAAAACAAATAATTTCAGAAATGAAGTTCTGTGTAATAAAATGGAATGACACAGGGAAAAAGTATATCTGTTGGATTCAAGTCAGGTGATTGGCTGGCCATTCTAGCAGCTCTATTTTCTTTCTCTGAAACCAATCGAGAGTTTCCCTGGCTGTGTTTGGGATCATTGTCTTGCTGAAATGTCCAGCCTCATTTCATCTTCATCATCCTGGTAGATGGCAACAGATATTTATCAAGAATGTCTTGGTACATTTTTCCATTCATACGTTCCTTCAATTATATGAATTTTGCCAGCGCCACACCATGATGTTTTGGGGTGATGTGCCATTTGACCTCCAAACATGGTGTGTATTATGGCATCCAAAGAGTACAATTTTTGTCTCATCTGACCAGACTATATTCTCCCAGTATTTCACAGGCTTGTCTAAATATGGTGCAGCAAACTTTAAACGAGCTTCTACATGCTTTTTCTTCAGCAATAGAGCCTTGCGTGGTGAGCGTGCATACAGACCACAGTGGTTGAGTGCATTACTTATTGTTTTCTTTGAAACAATTGTACATGCTAATTCCAGGTCTTTCTAAAGATCTCCACAAGTGGTCCTTGGCTCTTAGACAACTCTTCTGATAATTCTTCTCTGTCAGAAATCTTGCGAGGAGCACCTGATCGTGGCCGGTTTATGGTGAAATGATGTTCTTTCCACTTCCGGATTCCACTTCCCAACAGTGCTCACTGGAACATTCAGAAGTATAGAGATCTTTCTGTAGCCGATGCCATCAGTATTGTTTTGCAACAATAAGGTTGTGGAGGTCTTGAGAGAGTGCTTTGTTTTACCCATCATGAAATATTTCTTGTGTGACACGTTGGTCATGAGACACCTTTTTATAGGCCATCAGTTGGGATTAAAGCAGCTAATATTAATTTCACTGATGAGGGGCAGGATTTCTTTCTAATTACTGATAGATTTCTGCTGGTGTCTTGGCTTTTCATGCCTTTCTGCACCTCCCTTTCTTCATGTGTTCAATACTTTTTCCCTGGGTCATTCCACTTTATTACACAGAACTTAATTTCTGAACTTATTTGTTTTGTTTTCTTTGTATGTATGGATTACTTGGGTTATTACCGTCATCTGGTGAACATTTCAAGTCAACAGCACCTTTAGAAATATATTTACTGAGAAAAATGGTGACGTGTTCAATACTTATTTTACCCGCTGTATAATACAGAATGTATCAAAGCAGCTTCCCAGTGTAAACAGGACAATAACAGAATAAATTATGGAAACTCAACTGGCCATGGTTGCAAAAAACGCTTGATATTATCTCTTCCCTCCTACACCTTCCTGCACATCTCATTTCTCCTACTTTCCTTTGTGTCCTGCGAAACCTTTGCCTTTTTCTCACCTCATCCCATTGACTTTGCCACCTTTCCTTCAATTCCTTTTTATCAATGCTCTTGAATTCTGCCCTGCTGATGGTAGTGGCTTTTAGTTTTAGCTTCCTTTGCAACATTAGCTGGCAGTGAAGGACACATCTATGAAGATGTATGTTAAAGAACATCATACAACCAAGATATTATTTTTCATCCATGTTTTAATTTGTACAGTTCTCTTGTAAATGTTGTAAATTACTTGTTATATTTTCATTTGATTACATTTTAAAAGATTGATTAAATGTCTGTTTTATTCAAATACAGCATTTAGGGAAAATAAAATGGTTTAAAAGATAGCTTACTCTGTGGAATTTAATTGTGAACAAAAATGTATGTTAACATTCATTCTCAAGGTCTAACAAATATGTTAGATTCCCATTCCCCATTAATGAATATAGTGATAAATATTGATATCGTATGATATGGAAAAAATATTGTGATAATATTTGTCTATATCACGCAGTCATACTATAAATTATTCCATAAGTGTCCATCTTGTTTGAACTTGTTCTTTCATTAATGCTCAAAGATACTTCATGTCTAATTATTTATTTATGTGGCAATTAGCTATGTAATAAGCAGATATTGAACAGCCATCATATGATGTGCTTTTTCACAGATATTCATCTGTTGTGTCTTTCAATCAACCATGCCAGAATCAGGAACATTAGAGCCATGACAAAACACAGACAGATCATGATAATGACCAAATGTCTCTCCAGGAACGGCAATTTCTGTTCAACAGTCAGAGTAATGTTAGCTGGAACAATACGCAGAGGGGCGGACAAATCTTCTGGGATCACGAAGGGAAAGAGTTTTGATCCTGGCACTGCATTAAATTCTGCAATCAAGTAATCATTCCCTGCATCAAAAAATCTCACATACCAATATCTCCCTTTCTCATCACAACGGTAGTCAAGCTTTACTCGGACTACCTCTAGATTTCCCTTCGTCTTTAATCTAGATATCTGAGCATTCATCAATTCAAATAAGGATCCAAAGCGTCTAATACCCCAGAAGCCTTTTGCAGGGGTCAAAGTATACACATCAGATGTTTCCACTGAACCTAAGCACACACCAAGGCTCCAATATTGATTGTTTCCCACCTCAATTTCCCATGTGTGGGTGCCATCAGTGTATCCCACACTCCCCAACACCACACAGTTCCTGTGCTGAGGAAAAGGGTTATGCTTGTCCTGCTGAAAGAGACATGAGGTCACAGAGGTCAGATCATCTGACACAGAGAAGTCTGGTAGTGATGTGTTTGGGTTCAGGATCACGGGATCTGTGGAGAGCAGGGAAAAGTAATTTATGTTGATATTAAACGTAGTAGTTCTTACAGGAATGAACTAGTACTAGCCTAGTACTCACAGTAAGGGCAGATGTCCTTCATCTTCTCCCACACTTGGTACTTCAAGTTGCCCAGATGTTTTGGAACATCGATAAGAGTTTTTGAACTCAGTTCTGCATCTGGAAGCGTGTATTTAGCTCTAAACACACACACCTCACAGCGTCAGTATTGAATTTTTAGCTCATGAATATTTAAAAAACAGTAAAAGTGGAAATTATAAATAGTAAATACCTGTTTTGAATGCTCTCATAATTCTGAGAAAATACACAAAAAGGCAACAAACAAATGTGTCACTGTTATAACAATAATAAACTGAAAGCAATACTGATGTGTGTGTGTGTGTGTGTGTGTGTGTTCCAACCTTCAGGAAGGTGATGTCATCATCCTCAATTTGTTCTTCCACTTCTTTGACTCTGTCAGAGAGAGACATAATTCCGTCTTGTATTCTTCTTTCTATCTTGTCTCCCTTTTCTTTCTTTTCTTCATTTAGAGCTGATATCCTGCTCTCCTCCTCCTGTCTGAGGAACTGATGCAGTTTCTCAAACTCTGTCCTGATAGTTCTCTCTGTCATCTGAGTTTGAGACTGTGATATGGTGATATGGTGTAAAAACTGTTAACCATCCACACAAAAATCACCTTTAACAAGAGGAATAAATAGAAATAAAACATCTAAAAAATGTAACAACAAATCTGTCAGACTCCTTAAAAGGATACTCCACAAAACAGGGTTGCCAGGTCCCAGAAAAAAATTCCATCCCAAGATAATCCAAAACCCTCCTTTTTATTCTTCTTTTAGCACTTTGCATGATGAATTGCTTAAAAAGTAAGCTATGCATATGAATAACACTGTGGTGATATGGTGTAAAAACTGCTAACCATCCACACAAAAATCACCTTTAACAAGAGGAATAAATAGAAATAAAACATCTAAAAAATGTAACAACAAATCTGTCAGACTCCTTAAAAGGATACTCCACAAAACAGGGTTGCCAGGTCCCAGAAAAAATTCCATCCCAAGATAACCCAAAACCCTCCTTTTTATTCTTCTTTTAGCACTTTGCATGATGAATTGCTTAAAATGTAAGCTATGCATATGAATAACACTGTCACAATGTGATAATGCAACAGCCATTCATAGAAGTCAAGTCAAGTCAAATTTAGTCTATTTACACAGTGCTTTTCACAACACACATCATTTCAAAGCAGCTTTATAGATAATCATGATGTTAATGTTTATTATTTATTTGTATATGCCTTATGGTCATATTTAGCAGATTAAAATACTATTTCTATAAAATAGTTTTAGCCCTAAAACATGTATTGTCCTTTCACTTCCCACATTCTTTTAAAATACTGTAGAATTTACACATCTTCATACAATAAATCAAAAACTATATTTTCTGATCTCAGTCAAGACCATTATTAATAGCCTACATTCTCTTTGCTCTTTACATACTCTTTTTTTTTTTGTCTTCAAACAATCAATGCATTAATCAATTCCCGATGCGGGCGAAACTCATGTAACTTCTAGTGACACCAAACATGCCCCTCATACCATCTCTTCTTCACTTGCTCTATCCTAAATCCTATTATATAGCTAAAAAAAATTCTGCCAAGCGTGGTGTGAAAGGCATACAAAACATGAATACATGGGTTGGTTTGTTTGTATCTTTCTTTACCATATGCCTCTAATCTGCTCCAGCATGTGCTTTATCCTGTCTTCCACAGAAAGAAGACATTTCTAAAAATATCAGTTTGTGATCAAATGAAGAAAAAAGTCAAATATATCTGGAATGGCATGACTGGTAAAATTATGATGGTAAATTGTGAGAATATTTTCATTTTTGGATGAACTATCCCTTTAAGTTTGCACATGTCCTCAGAGAGGAGACTGGATATGAGAGCTTTAAAACCTAGGACCTTCTTCCCTGGGTCCACAACTCTTTCAACATGTTGGACTTTTTTTTTCCTGTACTGTATATGTCAGTTTAATGTGGGCTTTTATACACTTCTCTTTCTATTAATATTGTTATTTTATATTGCATTTCTATTTTTATGCATTGTCAGTAATTATGTGGACACAAGCACCAAGTTAAGGTGCACTTGGCGAATAACTATAAGTCATAAAACCAGCCAGCCTGCATTCCTCAGAACCTGAAAAGTTTTGTAAAGAAAACATCTGTGGAATTTTCTGAATTTCTGTTTCCACCCTTAACATGAGCCTCACCTGAATATACTTGGAGATTTTGTTATCTAGTGCTGTGCCATTCTGCAATGACAACAAGGTCTTCTCAGCGGGACGAATCTCTGCTTTCAGCTTCCCCTTTAAAGACAAGGCCACAAATATTCATGTACACATTAGTTTCAATTTATTTGTAATTTTACTGGCAATTAACTGGGTTGCCTTTTCACAAATACATAATGAAACAACTGCTATGAAGCGTCACACACACTTTCTCACCTTGTGTTGTTTTACAGCTTGTTGAAGCAGTTGTGTTTTGTGTCCGTTGTGTTCTTGTTTCTTGCACGTTACACATATGGCCTTTCCATCTGTTTGACAGAACAGTCTGATCACCTCTCCGTGTTTCGAACACTCATGGCCTCCACTGCTCTCTGTCCTCGTGTTTTTCTCTCTCAGGTAAGACTCACAGGTGTTTCTCAGGCTCAGATTGGACACTGGTTCCTGCGGTGACACCTGCTGACAGATGTAACATCTTCTGAAGCTACTCACAGCCCAGTGTAAATTAATGCACTGACGGCAAAAACTGTGTCCACAGCCCAATAACACCGGATCACGAAAAAATTCAGTGCACACAGTACACGACAGCTCATCCTCAAGCGCCATTTAGAGACAGAAAAGAAATTGTACTGATCACAGATCTGACTGACACGGTTTAAGTGATGCAGCAAGCAAAAAACTTTTGCATACAAAATTTTAATACAGCCACTCTGTATGAGGAAATGACATGTCAAACGTTCATTGGACGAAAAAGAAGGTCGGAAAGAATCACTAAAACATTAATATACCTGTACATCAGGGGGCGCTGTGTGCTGATGATCCTCTCAAGCAGTGCATGTAGGCCTACATGCAAAATAAGTAAATTAACTGAGCACAGTGAAGAAATGTCAGCTTTAAAACTTGTTGTGTAATGGGTCTTTGGCAACTGTCAACAAGAAAAGTTTGTTTATATTTGATACATTGAATTGATCATAAAAGGCAGTAAGGACTATTCCATTGTTATGTTAAAATTCTTTAAAAATAGAAATGTCTATTTCTATTCAAAGAATCACGGATGTCAAATGTATCGCGATTTCCACACAAACAGGCAGCACAACTGTTTTCAACATTGATAATAATCAGAAATGTTTCTAATAATCAGAATATTAGAATGATTTCTGAAGATCATGTGACACTGAAGACTGGAGTAATGATGCTGAAAATACAGCTGCGCATCACCGGAATAAATTACATTTGAAATACATTAAAATATTAAATATTTATTTTGTATTGTAATGATATTTTACAATATTGAATATTCTGTAAATATCTGTTTATCAAACCAAGGCAGCTTTGGTCACCATAAGAGACTTCTCCCTTTGAAGTTTAAGTCAAAATCTTCTCATCAAACACACTTCATAACCAGAAATGTCTCCTGCATATGGCAGTATAATTTTGACATGTGAATTAATAATGCTGAAATAATACTGCCCCACTGAATATCTCTGGTCTTTGTGTCAAACACTCTCATAGAAATTACACAGTAGGAATGAATGTTGCATTGTATTGTATAGTAAAATCATCAAATCCATTGGGATTGGGATCCAGGTTTCCCTCTTTTGAAATTAGTATACTATCCACAGACATATTAACTGCACTAATGTAACCCTTGTGCATAATTTTTTTTTAAATGTCTGTGTCATAAACTTATAAAAATTTGAAGCTTTAGAGCACAGACGTATGCTTGGTCTTATTTTAAAGAAGACATTTTGCAGATTATTGTTGAAAAAAAAAAGTAACAAAAGTGAAACATTTACATTTACATTAAGGCATTTAGCAGAGCTTTCAGTAAGATTTTTCTGGGCGCAGTACCAAACTTTTTCCAGTAGATGCCGTCAAAGCTCCACTGGTATACAGTACACAGCGGTGGGATTTGTGATTTGCGGTACAGAATTCCTCTCTCTCTTCAAAAATGCACATAACAGCCTATCACACTTACTGTGCATATTTTATGGTGTAACTTGGGTTGAAAATATTGCTTACAAAAAGCTTTGCAGAACAAACAGCGTGGGATTAAAAATTTATTTTATTTTATTCCTCACTTTTTTAATTGCATTTCAAAAATATAAAACAAATCAGTATGTTCTTAACAAATTCATCAAATAATGTTTATCCACGTAAGCATGCAGTAAACTACATAAAATAAATAAAATTAAATTAACATTAAATTACTTTTTTATTTTTTTGTTGTTTGTTTGTTTTTTTGTAATAATTGTCATAAAGAACGTACAAAAATCAATGCCTGGGGTGAATACAATTGAAAAAACAATTACTGATTACAAAATCAGAAAAATATGAAAATGACACAATGAGACAGTTTTAAGGGCTTTAGAACTGTTGGATGTAAGCAGAGCGTCCAGGTAGGATTTAAGGTCCTTACAGAAAACAGGAAAGTAGGGCTTAGCACCTTAAAACTTACATTTGTGTAAAATTTTAAAATAAAAATACAAGTTTTATAAAAAAATATTGGCCCTTGTCTTCTTTAGTAAAGTCATGACAACCAAATAAAAAACATCTTTATATATTAAAGAGAAACTCTGTGAAGAAAAAGCATGTACAAAAATACAAAAATCCTTCCAAAATAAATTAGTGAATGTACATTCCCAAAAAAAGATGAGACATAGATTCATCTTCAGCCCCACAAAAGGAGCATAAAGAATCAATATCTGGAAACTTTTTTTTTTTTCATATAGAGCTTAACAGGGTAAAAAGATTAAGTAATTTATAAGAGACATCCTTTACCTTATTAGTTATTAAATATTTAGATGATAAAGTCCACACTTTCTTCCATGGAATGTTTTCATATAGGCCATTCCAGTGAGACACAATGCATGGGAGAGAAGTTATCTCAGCCTGAAACAGTTGTCCAAATTTTTTTTCCAACCGGAAGAGGTAGATTAAAAAAAAAAAAATCTTCCCAATCACTGTATCAAAAAGATGAATCATTGACGGAAAACTGGGATCTAGCAGAGCCCTTCAGAGCCCATTACAATGGCGAATTTATAAACTGAGAAACTAGAATAATATTATTATTGATCCAATTTGGGAAAAACAAATATTTACTTTTATAAAGAATATCACCAATATTCCAAATAAAATAACTGTGAGGACTAAAATTGTGTTTATAAATCAGATGCCACGCCAAAAGCACTTGTTTATGAAAATTTGATAATTTAAGGGGCAATTTAATGATATTGTAATTACATAACAATAAGAAAGGGAGACCTCCCATCTTAGAGAAAACAATATTAGGAAGAATATTCCAAAATGAATCAGGAATTTGTTAAATACTGCTTTAACCAATTTATCTTGAAAGTATTATTTAAAGAGGCAAAATCGAAGAAATTTAAGCCACCTCATTCATATTTATTTATAACAACATACTTTTTGACATAATGTCTCCTATGTTTCCACAGAAAGTCAAATAACATTCTATTAATGTCTGCACATACAGGTTTATCTACATATAAAGAGAGAGTGGGGTAAGTCATTCTTGAAATACCTTCAGCTTTAGCAATGAGGGTTTGGCCTCTTAGCGATAAATCTCTCTGTAACCATGAACTGAATTTCCCTTTAACTTTTCCAATAACTGGGTCAAAGTTTAATCTACATCTGAATTTATCGTCCTTACATATAAATACACCAAGATAGGTCACCTGTGATTTAACTGGGATACTGTAAAGAGAAGGAGAAGAACAAGTTTTAATAGCTAACAATTCACATTTATCAATATTTTACCTTTAAACCCAAAGCTTTAGAAAAAAAAAAAATTTGTGCTCGATAGCAACTGGAATTTTTTATTTATCTTTAAAAAACAGAGTAGTGTCATCGGCTAGCTGACTAATAAGTATATGTTTATTGGCAACAGTCATACCCTGCAGATCACTACTCAAAAGGAAGGAGGAAAGAAGTTGTGCAGCTATAAGAAATAAACAAGGCGAGACAGGGCAACCCTTCTTGAAATCTAGGAGAGGTACCCCATATAAGATTGATAGAGCAGTTGGCGTTATTATAGAGAGTTCTTATAAATTTACAGAATGGATCACCAAATCAAAGCTTTTTGAGAGATAAAAAATAATAATTTGTGATTAAGAGAGTCAAACGCTTTGTAGAAATCTAAAAAGAGAATAAAACTGCCATCATTAACTAACTCAGAATAATGTAATAAATCTAAAAGAAGTCAGATATTATTAGCTATGTGTCTTTTTGGCATGAATCCTCATTGAATCTCGTCAATAACAGAGTTTAAAACACCCTTAAGTCTTTTAGCTAGAATCCAAGCTAATATTTTATAATTGTTGTTGAGCAGACAGATAGGCCGTCAATTATCTATCAGAGAAGCATCTTTTTTTGGGATTAGGTATTAGAGCTAGTAGTCCTTGTGTTAAACTTGGAGGCAGATTTTCTGACTGAATACTCTCAGAAAACATCTTTAGCAGGAATGGTGCCAATTCTTTTGCAAAGCATTTGTAAAATTCAGCCTTTAGGCCATCCATGCCAGGAGACTTGTTATTTTTAAGGCCTTCAATACCGTCAATTATATCATCAATATTTATAGTTTTATCATATTAGATTAACCTCCTTTAAAGACTGAAAGAAAAGAGAAGCAGATTCTTTGCAATAATTCGATTTATAGAGTTCTGAATAGAAGTTACTACAGAAAGAGGCAATTTCCTTCTGTCAAAATATCTGTCAAATTACCATTTATTGGAAAGAATCAATAGTAAGATTCCTAGAATTATGTTTTTCCATTCTAAAAAAATAAGCTTTGTTCTCCTTGTTCTAACCATTTCCTCCTAGAACATAGGAGCCTTGAGCTTTGTACTTATAAATACTATCAAATTTAGATTGAAGCTCTGCAAGTTCTGTTAAATCAGTTTCTGTTAAGTCTTCCTGAATTATGATCTGAAGAGTTATGATCTTTGATATCACCTTTTCCTCTTCGTACCTTCTCTGTTTGGCCAAATTGCTGCTGAAATGGCTAACACACAATCCTATTTCATATTTAGTTACTCCCAGTTACATTTTTTATTTTTTGTTTGTCAGATGAAGCTTTGGCCCAATAGTATTGAATTAAAAGGATTTTGAGGTTTTTTTTCAATTCATCATGCTTAAGCAGAGAGGAGTTTATTTTCCAATAAGAAGCTCTAAAACTATTTGAGTGTCCTGTGGATAAAGGAGTAGAGAGGAGAATAGTGTGGTGGTCTGTTAAAGGTGAGGGAAGGATACTAACTGAAACATTATAGTTTTTAAAAGGAGTGTGGTTCAAGCCAATAATCTAAACGAGAAAGTCTTGATTTATTCATGTTACTCCATGTGTAAGATTTAACATTTGGAAACTTCTCCGTCCAGATATGAATTAAATCGAACTTCTCCATGAACATTTTCAATTTTAAATTAGGAGCAGCAGACTGTCTGGGAGGAAATCTATCAAGATTGTTATCAGGAGCGATATTAAAATCTCCACCAATACAAATCAAAGCATCTGGATGTCACACACTGTGTCGGAATGAACGACGGAGACGTAGATTAGAAGAAACAGTCTTATGAATACACACAAGGGGTAA